AAATAACCTTTTGAGTCGTTGTTTCATTTCCAACGGATATAATTATTTTTAATAATAAAATTTTTTTTTTTTTTTTTTGTAAAATTCAAAAAAGGGTTTTAAATTATTCAACACAAATATGGTCGTTTACAAAAAAAAAAAATTGAAGAAGAAGAAGAAGAAAAAAGTACCCATCTTGTTGTTGTTGGTCGGTTGATTTGGGTACCCCTGATTCTTAATTTGGAAGTTTAAATGACCACCTTGGGTTATCTCTTGCTACCTTCAATCAATCTTAATTGAAATTTTTTTCAAATTTTTTTCAAATTTTTTTTTCAATTGCTGCTTTGTCGGACAGGTAAATTTTTTTTTTTTTTTTGCAAAAAATAATAAATAAATAACCTTGAAAAAACAAAATGGTTCTTGGGTGAATTCATGAAAAGTGGCAGGTTAAATGCCATTTTTTTCTTTTTCTCTTGTGATTTATGATTTGTCTCTTTTTCTCCAAAAAAAAAAAAAAAAAAAAAATTGTTTGTTGTCTTTTTCTTTTCTTTTCTTTTTTAATCAATTTTTTTCTTGTTTCATAAACAACAATAATGTCCCTTTAATTTAAAAATATTAATTAATTCGTTATGGATGTGCTATTTTTAGAATCATGACGTTGTCGTCGTTTGTCGTTTGTTCTAATATAAATATAATTTTATTTATTTATTTAAATCGTCGTTGTTTGTTTTATTGTCCGGACGTTCACATTACGCCAAATATGAAATTAATCGAAGGGTTATAACGTATTATTGGTGTGGGTTCTTCCTCCTCCCCCTCCCCCTCCTCCCCCTCCTGATTTTATTTATTCTAAATGCAACTTTGAATATTTAATTGAAGAGAGAGAGAGCGGAAGAGACTGTCTAAGAATTCTAAAAATTCCTTTCAAAGACTAATTTAAATAAATAATTTTTTTTAAACGTAAAATAAAAGGATTCGTAACCATTGAAAAATAATAAAAGACCAACAAACGATTGTTGTTGTTGTTGTTGTTGTTGTTGTTACCACAAAAAAAAAAAAAAAAAAAATTATTCCGCAAATATTATTTTTTTTTTTTTTTTCCTTCCCTAAGAGAAAAATATTTCGATTATTATACCTGACGTTAATAGGTTTCACTTATTTGATGGTTTATGTAATTATTATCATTTGTGCAAAAAGAAAAAAACCTGGCTAATGTTTTTGTAATTTTCGTACCTTAAAATATTTTTTTTTTTTTATTGCGAATGTATAAGATGATGATGATGATGATGATGAGGTTGAGAAGAATTTTTTTTTTTTTTTTTTTCATTTTGATTTCTTTGCAAATATCTTGACACCTGACATTAAGTTCACGTACCTGTTAAAGGTATGATTTTAAATAAAAATATAGACTTATGAGATTACTATTATTATTATTATTATAAGTATAAACAATGGTTTTTATGGTTTATTTTAAATATAAATCCTCGACATGTTTTTTTTTTTTTTTTTTTTTTTAGTGCTAGATGTGGTTTATCTAATGAAGATTTAAACCGTCGTTGGAAAAACCCTCATCCGATTTTACATCCGGAAATATATCACACGAAAGGTTTATTAGAATATTGTTGTAGAATATTAAAAAAACCGCCATTTGTTTTTTGTGATTTTCACGGTCATTCGAGAAAGAAAAATGTTTTCCTTTACGGATGTGCTAATAATGAAAGTTGGTCGGAATCTGATAAACAGCAAATCGTGTCTCCAGTTGAATATTTAGTAAGAAAATTGTCATCATATTTAATTTTATTATTTTTAATTAATTAATTAATTTATTATTTATGCCTTTAGCTCATAGCTCATCTCATGAAACATTTTTGTCCGGCTTTTTCATTTTCATCTTGTAAATTTCGCGTCGAAAGATCAAGAGAAGCAACAGCAAGAGTTGCTGTATGGAGAGATTTTAAAATAAAAAGAAGTTACACTATGGAAAGTAGTTATTGCGGTTGCGATCAGGGAATTTATTCGGTGAGTAAAAAAAAAAAAAAAAAAAAATAAATAAATTATAATTACATTCATACTTTTTGAAACACCCTTAATTGAAATTATACCTCCCTTAATCTTCTTCTTCCTGTCCCTTCCCGAATAATTTTTAAAGAATTATTAAAAGGAAAATTACTTTGATGTGAAGTTTTTTTAACTACTATTTATAAATATTTAAATTTTTATTATTATTTCCACGGTTGTAATAAAATATTAAGCCGTTTGAACTGGAAAAAAAAAAATTTTGTTTGTTTGTTTGTTTCCTTTCCTGTAGGGCCGACATTTGGATACGGTTCATTTAAAAGAAGTTGGAAAACAATTTTGTGAGGCTTTAGCTTGTTTGCATGATGAAACAACTTGGCGCCTTGAATTGTTATTAGAATCTCAAGAAGCTGCTGCCAAGTATGACTTTTTTTTTTTTTTTTTTTTTTTTTTTTCATATTAAAAAATTTAAAAATATTTTATTATTATTATTTAGGTTCGGGGAACCCGCTGGTAATTTATTACCGAAAGCTACATCCGGTAGTCAAAGCGATTTATTGGAAAGCAGCGATAGCTCATTGGACAGCGATGAAGAACGTGAAGTCGATAATGAAAGTTGACTTTTTTTTTTTTATTTTATTTAATATATTTAAATTAATAGTGTTATTAATTAAATTTTAAATAAAATATAAAAAAATTTATCCTTCGTAAACAAAAAAAAAAAAAAAAAACAAAAAAAATATTTGTTTTAGTAAATTCGATTTATGTATAAGTGTTGTTAATGGATCAAATATATATATATATATATGAATAAATAAATTATTAAAACAAAAAACATTTATGATAAATTTTTTTATTTTAATTATTAACTGAGTCCTTTGATGAAAAAAAAAAAAGTTCGTTATAATTCTTCTGTAAAAAATTTTGAAGAAGTATCATCGGTAGTAAATTCCGAATCGAGAGATAATTTATTATCATTATTAATAAATTTATTGTATATTAAAAGAGCAACATTTTTAGCACCTATAGCACTCATTTCCATGGCACTTGCTGCCCATTCTATTGCATTTATGTAATAAAGATTAGAATCTAAAATAAATGTACTGTTTCCGGGTGAAGTTTTTGACGTATAATGAGGATATGCTAACCAATCTTTCACGTATATATTACTAATATTAGAAAATAAATCCGATATTTCTTTATCTTTTAATTTTTTTTGAGTAAAAATTTTCCATACTTTTTTACTTTCTTCATTAATGGGTTCGACAGGAGTTATACGACCTAATGAATTAAATAAAAGTCCTTCTTTAATTGTGAGAATTTCATCAACGATTGAATTTTTATTTTGAAAATAATCTTCTCTTAAATTTCCTTCAATCAATGTACAAACGGTTCTATGATATTGTCCGTTAAAATTTATATTATTATCAAAATTATCAAAATTAATTTTATATTTTGTATTTGGATATTGGGGAGCAGCTAAAACAACCACATCATATATTTTGCCATTTTCTTGAGTGTCATTTGATTTTTTTAATGTATCGATTTGAATTTCTCCAGAAGGTAGTTTTTTTATATGAGTGACAATTTCTTGTAAAAGGTTGGCACCTGATGTTTTCAAAAGATTCTCTGGAATTTTATAATTTCCACCTGCAACGGACCACATGTTTCCAGATACTCCAGCTACACTTACAGAGCCTAACATTTAAAAGAGTTTATTTAGTCTTTAAATTATTTTAGAATTTAAATGAAAATGATACTGGAGAAAAACTTAAATGGGAAAAAAAATCAACCACTCACCGACCATTTTGTGAATTTTTAAATTTTGTCCATAATTAACTCGAATTGTTGCCATTATAATTTCATCTATAACAATATCCGATATTCCAGCACTTTTAAAACCATTTCGTGTTGATAATTGTAAAAATTTTTTAAAATCATCATGCATTGCTGACATAAGAGATCCGACATTATCATAAGTTTTACCCAAACTTTGCAAATGATATATTCTAAAATAAAATAAAATGATTTATTAATTGTTTTCAATTTCATTTTATTTTATGAAATATAACAAGGTATAATTTAAAAGCTTATGAAATTTATCTCACTTGTCAAACTTATCCAACATATCCTCAATGTAATTTTTTAGTTTAAAAAAATTCAATCCATATCGCCAAACAACATCTATCATTGTTCTGTAAGTCCATTCATTTTCGGAAAAAACAAAATTTTTTCCATCATATAAAGCAAAATGTCCTGGACTTGGCTCTCTTTTATTTAAGTTAAATTCCTTTAAAAAACCAGTCATATAATTATTTCTAGAGTGAATTATGCTACCACCTTCTTCATATAGATTATCAGAAAAATTGACAACTGAAAGTCTCCCACCAATTTTTTCTGCTTCATAGAGATCAATTTTTATTGTATTTTTTTTAAAAAGAGAATTTAAAAAATATGCACATGATGTTCCTCCGATTCCTCCACCAACAATCCCTACAAATAAAAAAATTTTTAGTAATTTTAAAGCATGTCATTTATGTGATACATTTAAAATCATAAATATTTCAAAGTGTAATTAGTAATTTATAAAATTAACAAAATAATTCAATAAAAGTAATACAATGAAATTTTATTTGTATTTTTTTTAAGTCATTGAGAAAATGTTTGAAAAATTTTGCTGTTACCTATCCTTGTAATATTTTTACATTTAACCAATGGTAAAGTGGTAAGGTAATGTGAACAAAAAATAATTAATAATTTAAAGCTGTAAGATGATTTCATTTTTAAATTAAATCTAATGTAAACATTTTTTACGTAAGGGAAATTTATATAATAAACATTATTAAATTTCTCTATTTGTTTTATTTTAAAACTGTCATTATTTCAATTATGTTTATACTATTGCAACATTTAAGAAAATTACTGATGTTACTAATACAAAAACTTCCGAATGTAATTAAAATAAGTATAAAGATTTTGTTAAATCATACAAAATAAAAATTTAAAATTATCTATATCTGAAATAAAACTATTGTTTAAATTATGAATTATCTAACGAACTGTTGTGGAAGAAGAAAAATCAAAGTGGCTCCAGAATTCGTTTTTTAACTACTTCATTTTCAAAGTTTTTTTATTCCGTAAAAAGTTTAATGAAATCAAATTAAGAAATATTAATAATTATTAAATTTAGTTCGATGAAGTTTGATTACTTAGTGTTTTTCAAAACATTTATTTATGCATTATTAATGCCAAAACAGACAAAGCGAATTTTCAAATAGTATGTAATAGACATGATGGAAAAATTTTTTAAAAAGTATGTAGCATATAAAAACAACTATTTTAAGATAAAAAAAAAAAAACACGGTTCAATATTTTATGTTTCATCGATTCTTATTATTATTATTATGGATTATATAAATTTTTACGTAAATTATTACAATATAAAAAAACCGATTGGAGTATTTTAAAATTTAATGTGAAAAATATATATAATTGAAATTAAAGTATACCTCTATGAATTAATAGAATTCTGATTTGACCGTTATTCAAATTTCAAATTTGATATTAAAGTTAGAATTAAGGTAATAAATATTATCAAATAACTACTGTTTTAGAAAACAGGGTACAACTATAATAAAAAATGGAGTTTTTACGCGAAACTTTTAAAATGATTTATGTATTAATATTTAAATGACGCCATTACAAAAAAAATTGGTAAATATATAATAGTTTTAGTCGAACAAACCGTGCTTAAAGAAATACTAACAAATATTTCACTTTTTAGGCAAACATTATCAAAAAAAAATTATTTAAACTTGAAGAAAGACCTTGAAAAATTAAAGTACCAAAAAAGATTAAGAAAAAAACAATAGAATTTCAAAGCCCCACGTCAAGAAGTAGAAGAATTTTTTTTTTTTTTTCTTCATGGTTCCCATAATTAACCATCCAGGTGAAAGTATGACACACCTTTAAAGCATGAAAAGTAAATTTTTTTTTTTTTTCCAATGTTATAACTTAAATGTCTCTCTTTCTAACTGTGGTGTGTACAGCTTAAAATTTTTATATCCTCGTTCTAATAACTGGTTGTCGTATTATGTAATATTTTAGTAAAAGTAAAATTGTTATTTAATTCGTTGTTGTTTTGTTTTGTTTTTCAATTTGTTATAAATTGGCAACAACAACAACAACAAAAAAAATTATTTGTTTTAATTTAAAGATAATCCCCTGGAACTTTTTTTTTTTTTAAGTACTTTTTACTTAAAGTTTTCCTGTTTAAAATTTATAATGTTTTTTTTTTACAATAACAAAATTTAATTATTTTAAAAGAATAATGATTGAAATAAAAAATAATATACAAAACTTATTAAATAATTAAATTTTTTTTTTTTTTTTTAAATAAAAAATTCATCAATTATTATTATTATTAAGTATTTTATTGGTTCTGTTAATATATGCGCAAAAATATTTATGAAAGACATGCATGAAAGTTATAAAAGAAATTAATTTAACTTGAATTTTTTTTTTGTAGAAGGGAAGAAGAAGAAGGGAGAAAAATAAAAAAAAAAAATCAGGCAGGTTGAAAACTTGATTGCAAACAAACAACACACTTAGTGTAAGTGTAATAGTTACCGGGTATCGACATGGACGTTAAATATTTTTTTTTAAATACGTTTTTCATATTGATATTATTATTATCAGAAGGAGTCGGTCATGATAAAAATATACCGGATGAACAAGGTGAACGACAATACAAAATTTCTCTAATATTATTTTTCTAAAAAAAAAAAAAAAAAATTTTATAAAACCATGTTTTTTTATATTATAATATATTTTTAATATTTAATATAGATTTTTTTTCTGGAGGACCGACATTGTTAAGAAAAAGACCACAACCGAGATTTATTGAAAGAATAATGAGTAGTAGAAGATCCAGAGGACCTTTTTTGGGGAAAAAAGAAATTTGTTATGGTGAGATTTATAAATACGTAATTAATTGTCCTAATTAAATTTACAATTAATTAAAAAAAAAAAAATACTAAACAAATTTTTTATTTTTTATTTACGTTTAACAGTAATTTTTTTAGTAAATTAGTCATTTATTTAAATTTTAAATTGACATTTTTTTTTTTTTTCGTATTAAATTGGAATTTTAAAGTTGCAAAATTCATTTAAAAATTTAAATTTTTTTTTTTTTTTTGGTTTAAGGACGCGGCGCGATTTCGAAACGAGTTTTTTTTGCAAAAAAAAAAAAAATTGAATAAAAAGTCGATTTTTATTTAGGTTTCATTCATTCAAATTAAATTAAAATTTAAAAAAAAAACTTTAAATAAATTTTTTTATAAGTTTTATTACACGCATAAACTTATCCGTCCTGAATTTTTTTTTTTTAAATGAATAAATATATAAAAATTAATTAAAAATGATTTAATTTAGATATGATTGGATGTTTTGATCTTCCTCGTAAGCCTTCGTTGAAAAAACCTCCTCAAAGTCCAGAATTTGTCGATACAAAATTTTGGCTTTACACAAGACAAACAACAACCGATTTGGATATAAATTATGACGATATTCTGTAGGTGAATTATTTAATATTTTATTATCAAAGAAAATTAACACAAGTGACTTTCAATTTTGTGCCACTTTTTTTTTTTTTTTTTTTTACTTTATGTATTCCAAGTAAAAAAAAAAAAAAAAAAAAAAAAAAAATTGTTATTTAATAGCTTTTGTGCCAAAAACCTTCAAGTCACAAAACATAGTATAAATAATATAATAATGAATTTAACTTACCATTAAAAAGATGATTTAAATAATGTGTTTATGTTGAAATACTGTGTACATCCTTTGTTTTTTAAACTTCTTCGTAAAGATGCTCACCTTTTACAATATGGCGACGGTTCAAAATCAATTAAAAATTCTGGATTCGATCCTAAAAAACCATTGAAAGTTTTAATACACGGATTTAAAGGATCAGGCAAAGATAAGGGAGCATTATCAGGAGTAAAAGAATTTTTAAAGTTGGTATGTGTTATGTAAAAAAAAAATTTAAATTATTTATACACAAAAAAATTTTTACAATATAATAAAACTAAAAAAAAAAAATTAGGAAGATGTAAACGTTGTGGTTGTCGATTGGGAAAAAGGAGCCGCTGATGGATATTCCACAGCAGTTGCAAATACAGAACTTGTGGGTAGGCAAACGGCCATAATGTTAATGGATTTAATCGGATGGGGAGCATCGGTTAAAGACATACACGTCATTGGATTTAGTTTGGGTGCACACATAGCCGGATGTGCGGGAGAAATGTTGAAATCGAGAGGTTTTAAATTGGGCAGGATAACAGGTGAATATTAATATTATAAAATTAAGTTTATATTTATAATTGAAAATCACTTTTGATTGAAAAATTTTAACTTTTTAGGTTTGGATCCTGCAAGTCCATTATTTAAACATCATGTCGTTAGAGAACCATCTACTAAACTCGATGCTACAAAAGCAGATTTTGTTGATGTGATTCATACAGACGGTTCCAGAGTTTTTACCGATGGTTTTGGTCTTTTAAGGTTTTACTTATAATTACCTGATCCTTTCTATTTTGATTACAAGAAACATTAATCGTCAACTTTTATAACTTTTAGGCCTATCGGACACGTTGATTTTTTTCCCAACGGTGGTAGAGAACAAAGAGGATGTAATGATGGTCGAGGTTCTGTCGTGGTTAGCCATTTCGGTAAGCACCGATTAAAATATTTTCCCCTTAATTGGAAAAAATTACAGTTAAAAATGATGATATGAATAAATTTTTAGAGGGAACAGTTAATTCAAGTGTAGTCTGCAGTCACATCAGGGCATGGCAATTGTTTTTAGAAAGCGTAATCAATCTCCAAAACCCGGACGGTAGGATTAAATATCGGTATTTGATGGTATAATTTTTTTTTAATTTAAAAACAAAAAAAAAAAATTTTTTTTTTCGGAAACTAAATGCAAGTACAAATGTGAACATGTGAACCTTAAAAGAAAAAAAAAAAAAAAAAAAAAAAAAAACAAACTTTCCAGGAATAACCTTTTTAAGAGTTATTATAATTTCAGGTTGTCAATTTATCGGTTACCCCTGTCTTGAAGGTAGTGACGGTTTCATACGTGGAAAATGTTTTATAGAACCTAGGAAAAGATGTTTACCAGGAGATCCCGAATGTAATATTATGGGAATGGGAGCTTATGTAAATGGTGCACGTGGTGCTCTTTATTTAGCAACGAGGGATTCAAATCCTTACTGCGGTAATTACATAATAATAATAATAATAATAATAAATAAACACAATAAAGATTTAATTTGTATAAAAATAAAATAGGTGAACAAATGCAACTTAACGTAGAAATATCACCAACGGCTGAAAAAACAAGAGGATACCTAAATGTAAGGCTTAAACATGGAGATCATTTTACTAATTTTAAGGTAACCGACGAGTAAGTATAAATTTTTATTTTTTTATTCCCACTGAAAATTTTAAAAATAAATTTTCTTCGTTAATAAAATTTATTACGTTATTTGATTATTAAACAAATTTGAATAATTTTTAATCAACTCTCAATAATATATATATATTTTTTATACCAATAAAAATATAATTAAATTAATCTTTTTTTTACTAATAATAATAATAATAATAATAATTAATGACAAAAAACAAAAATTTTACCGTTACAATAAATAGTTTTTATTTAAAAAATTTTTTAACGGCCGAATTCACAACCCAATCGAAAGAATATTCGTTAGTTAAAAAAATAAACATTTTCATTAAATCCGTCATATTGTTATCATTATTTATGTATTTTTTTTTTTTTTGAAGGCTTTACGACTCGATTCGAGGAAACACAAAATTAAATTCGATAGGAGTAGCAGAAGAAAAATCTTTTTTTAACGAATCTAATACGAAAATAATGGACGCTCTTATTAGTTTTCAATCGTTAGAATTTCAAACGTCTCTAAGAAATCCCGAACCTTCGACAAAATCCGTCGTTTTGCACGATTTAAACATAAAAGACACGAAGGGAAATAAATGGAATTATTGTGGGCGACAAATTCCCCTGCAAAATATTAACGGAACACATTTTTCTGCTCTTCACGTTCAACTTCAACACGATTCATGTTCATAATAATATTATCATCGTATTTAATTAATCAAAATAATAATAATAATAATAGAAAAATTGTTTTAGATTTAGGTCAAAAATAAATCACAATGATAAGAAATTTATATATATATATATATAGAAAATCAATCTAAAAGAAAATTCAATTCATTTAATTAAATTATTATTATATGCTCAACAAAATATAAAATAAAAGAGAAAAAAAAGTAATGATAATAATAATAATAATCTGTAAAATTATTGGAAAATAAGAAAGAAAGAAAGAAAAAAAAAAAAACCTAAAAATTTTACTTTAAAAAATTATTATTATTTTTTTTATTGGCCTTAAAAAGAGGAAAATAAATAGGCCAACCCTATGTGGAATTGAAACTGTATGTGTTTGTGTGTGTGTGTAAATCCACCTGGTACCTAAAGTCATAACCTGGAATTGATGACAATGAATAATTTTTTTTCTCATACTTTAATTCTTCACGCAATTTTCAATCCTTTGATTTCTCGTTCGAGCGTCTGGAATAAAAAAAAAAAAAAAAAATAATACAAAATATTGTTATTGTTTAAATTAATAAGTGTACACATTTTTATCAATAAAATAAAATTTTTTAAATTTATAATTTTTCATCATTTAAACATTATAATTTGTTTCTTACATATACACATTCGATTGGAAAAAAAAAAAAAAGAAATTTAAATACGAAAATAAGATCTTTGATAATTTTAAATAAAGCAAAATAGACTAACATTTAAATCCCAAATAACAATTTGACCGTCTAATCCGCTGGTACTCAATTTCGTATTCGAATATAATCTTATACCAGTTATTGTATTTTGATGAATCGTTTCCAATGTTGTGTCATTATTTGCAATTCTCGCTTGACGATCTAAACTTTGAAATTTTCTCATAGCACTAATTTAGAAAAAGAAAGAAAAAAAAAAAACGATAATGATGATATTTTTATATAAATAAATAATAAATGAAATCAGGTTAATATAAATTTAAATTGTTCACACCTTATTCCTCCTGCTTCTTTTTTTTGGGAAATGTCCAACTTGGTTAAAAATGATAAATTATTTGAATCGATACTAAACAGCATTGGACAGCAACTATGACCCTGAAAAAAAAAAAAAAATTACAAACATAAATTAAAATCCATATATTTTTTATCAAAAAAAAAAAAAAAAAAAATGAATACAAATAAGAGTAATAATAATAATAGTATAACTTACAGCAGCGACAATTGTATTCTTTCCAATCCATTTACAGCATTTGAAAGGTAAATATTCTGTTTTTAATTTGGTTACGTTTTTACCATCGGCAACATTAACACTGGAATCATGTGCAACCCAACACAATCGAGATCCATCTTTGGAAAATGAAACATTATGTATCCAACCCCCGCAAGAAGGGTTACTAAATTCTGCAAGTAACGTTCCTAAAACCATTTTACTACCCCATTCTGTAGCCGTTGGCACTTCTTCAATTTCTTTAATAAATGCTGAAAAAATCCTAACCTAAAAAAAATATAAAAAATTCATCAATTCAATGTTGTTCGATTAAGTAAAGAAATTTTATCAAGTAATAAAGTTTCTAAAAACTTAGTTAGGTTGGATGCTAAGAATATTTCAAAAAGTATAAACAATACCTTAAAATCTGAACATCCAGCAGCTAGAAGTATATTGTTAGGATGCCAATCAATAGTAGTAACAGTTGACCTGATTGGTTTTTTTATATGTTTCGAAACCCACCAATCGTTTACACTTTCAAAATAACATACTGCTATTAATCTTGCACCAGATCCGACAGCAAATTTATTTTCTGTCATTAAAATGAAACAAAAAAATTATTAAAGTTTGAATTTTTAAAACATAAAATTTGTGTTTGATAATACTTAAAATTTAAATATAAATATTAATTGAATATCATTTTAAAAATTGTTAATTAATATGCAATATCGAAAATTTTGTTTTTTTAAGAGTAAAACAAATTTAAGTTTAAGTTTTCGACTATTGAAAATTTCAATTATTATATGTTTAAAGAAACTTTATATACAATTATCAAAAAGCAAAAGTAAGGTTTTTCATAAAAACAATCAATGTACCTATATTTTACTATAATGCATTAAAAATATCATAAAATTAATTGAAAACTTATAAAGCTGAACATTACTTTATCTAAATATACTGAACAATTAAGTTAATTTATAAAACATTATACTGTATTTATGTAATTTATGTATAAATATTTACTTAAGGAAAAGGTTAACTGAGTATCGGTGACAACTACAAAGAACAAATTTTTATTTGTACATATATATATAGTATCTGGGTAATTAAAATTACCTTTAGGAGACCATTTAACACATGTTGCTGCCCTATTGATTCTAAGCAAAACTAAAGTTGGTTTCCATTTATTGTCAGGTCCTTGTGTCCAAACATAAGCATTTCTATCTGCGGCACATGTAACAATTCTATTTGTGTTCGGCGCCCAATCAATGCCGGTCACTCTTAAATCATGTTGATTTAAAACATCAACTTCTCTCCAATCATCATTAGTTTTTTCATAAATATTAACCTCGTGATTGTTCGGAGACAAAGCTAATTCTAAAATTTAATTTAAACGTTTATCGTATAATGCAATTTATACGAAATAAAAATAATAATGATATTATTTGGTTTAATTAAAAAGGCTTACGTGTACGATCTTTATTCCAAGCAAAATATGTTATAGGGTTTACTCCAAAACTATATCGTTCTGACATTTTGCGACACCATTTACTTATTTTTTATTATTATTATTATTATTATCACTATGAAAAAAAAAAATTATAGGAAGCCCAGTAAAAAAAGACAACTCAGTCAGCCCCGCCCAGTAAACCACACATTAGATAATTAGCCAACTCATAACAAAAAAAAAATATAAACGATTCTTTATAATAAACAATAATAATTATATTAGGTCATAACTTCATATTAATTATTCAATTAAAAAAAAAAAAAAAAATTTACAAAAAAAAAAAAAAAAACGCACTTCATCAAAAATTACCTACAAGCAGAAGTTAAATATTATTTACCAGAGAGAGAGAGAGAGAGAGAGAGAGAGAGAGAGAAAATATAATTCACGCACGTACAATAACGAATGCAGCGCTATTTGACTCATTGTTTCTTATAAGAAGTTTCCATGAGGTTTTTTTTTTTTTTTAATAAATGGGTGTGAATAATAAAAAATTATTTAAGATTTTACCGTTATTATTTAAATCTTTTAAATATGTAAACGATTTTTCTTTTTAAAAATAATTTTCATGTTTAAACAAATTCAATAGTCACTAAATTAAATGGAGTCATAGGGTTAGTGTCAATAAGTAATGTCCATAACAAAGTACAACAAAAATGGGTGGGGGAGGGGAAATAGAAGAATTTAATTTGTCGCAATTTAAATAAATAAATAAATATATATATATATATATTGTAAAGGATAAATAAAGTAATGTAAAATTTATAAAAGTCCACGTAAAATGGAATCTTCGTATCGAGATACTAAATAATCATAAAATATTTGTAAAAATCTCTGCGTTCCAAATACGTGTTGATTCATTGTATTATAAAGCCATCTTCCCGTTTGTCCCCTATAACTGGCAATTTTAAAATAAAATTCATCCTTTTTCTTATCAGCAATTCGACTCATCTTCGTTTTATCCTTCCACGTTAACTTAGTCAGCTCGTCGTTTGGTATCCCCAAATCAGGAATGGTAAATTTAGATAAATTTTTCATTGTTGTCCATTTTAATTTAATATAATTAATTAAATTTTCTTTCTTTTTCTTCGTCATTATTTCACCTTTGAGGTACTGCAAAAAAAAAAAAAAAAATTTTAATCCCGAAAAGAATGAGAAGAAGGAAAATGTCTTTTTTTTTTTTTATATACCTCGATCAATTGTATTACATCCGGATGTTTATAAATATTTTCATAGGATGCACAAAGAAAACCTTCTTCGGCTAAATCTTGAATGATTATTTTAAGTGAATCCTGTACGTCACCCTGAAATAAATTTTCTTCTTCGTTTGATTTTTTTTCCTTTTTTTTCTTTTCTTTATTGTCGCTACTATATAAATAATCATATTCACCGGGATAACATTCGGTCATGGTTTCTTTGTCTATTTTCACGGGTACGGATTTTTCAGTTAATTTTATCGTTTTCTTTTTATGCGTTATATATTTATCTTGGAATTTTTTTAAATTTTTAAATTTTTTCGACTTTTTATTTTTACGCTTTTTCTTTTTTTTCTTTTTTTTTATCTGCGATGAATTTTCACGAGTTTCCAAATCTCTAAAACACGGTTCTCTCAAATCGTTTTCATTATTAGGATCGGGATCAGGATCTGATATTATGCTTTCATGTCTTCTTATTTTTTTCTTATATAATTTTTTTGAACCCAATGCAAAATTTAATGTCAAATCATCGTCTTCGCCTAATTTTTCTTCGAAATCGTACGAGAGAAGAAAATCATTTTCATTTTCATCGACTTTTGATTCTTCGACAATGTTTTCCAATAATATTTTTTCATCTTCCACATTTTTTTCTAACGATAATTTTGTTCTCCTTCTTTTTCTTCTTCCTTTTTTACCATTTGTTTTCCTTTTTATTTTAGTTTTTAAACCTTTCGGACGTTTTTTCTTATTTTTTTTTTCTTTTTTCTTCTTCCCCTTAATTTTTTTCTTTGTTTTCTTTTTAATTTTTTTCTTCGTTTTCTTTTTAACTTCCGAGTCTGGAAAAAAAATTTTGGAAAAGCAAATTAAATAAATTAAAGATTTTAATTACTATTTTCCTATTACTATTTCTTTTTTTTTTTTTTACCCAATTCCTTATCCGCGAGTTCTTTGAGTTTTTCCGCAGCGGAAATTAATTTTGACGTGACTTCAGAATCATTTTCGACGTGCATTTTTTCATTTAATGTTTGAGTACTACTCGTGACAAAAGGATGAAACTTGCATAATTCTTCATTAATAACACCAATTTCTCTTTTTGCTATGTCGTAATGTGTTGCTGGAGGAGCTGGAGAAGATTCTGGCGGAGTACACGGTTGCCTTTTATTAAAAAAAAATTATTAAATAAATTTTGTTTAAAATAATAGTCAGACAGATCAAATTTATTTACTTTATGGTAACTCCTGATTCTGTTTTGGGGGGACTTTTAAATGGTAAATCAACATCAGTATCCGATAAATCATCATAATCGAAAATCGGTTTAATTCTTGCGATTTCCGTTGTCACCACTTCCGGTTCCGGTAAAAATTTTACTTTTTCCGATTCTATATCATCTTCAACAAATTCTTGTTTTTCCGGTTCTCTGAGAAACAAACATATTTCATCCGGATCTGTGAAAAGAAAAAATGATAATAATAATTTTATTTATTTTACTCTATGATGGTTATTAATTATTAAAATATTAATCACCTGGTTTTTCCGTTGTTGATATTTCGGATGCTTTTATACCAGCAATGGCGGTCATATCAACGGCCGAATCAAACTTTTCAACTCTATGCCTTTTTTTTTTCTTTTTTTCTTTAACTTTTTTTATACCTCTAGAACTTTGTTCGTTGGCCTAAATAAAATTTAA